TCCTGTGAGTATATAACACAGTATATATATATAACACAACATCATTCCACACAGATGGAAGGTCGTTAATATATATGCTGAAAAGCAGCGGCCCTAAAATTGACCCTTGTGGCACTCCCAGGGTTTATTTATCATTTGTATCATCTGATATGTTTTGGCAATATCCTTGAGCTTTTTCCTGCGTGCTTTGTCAAGCCAATTTAAGTTGAAGTCACCCATAAGTATAACTCCTTTACCTTCACGTTGTTCAAGAATTTCTGATAAATTGTCAAAGAAAACATTTGTGTTCACACACTTCTGTGAGACACAAGTAATCGAGGTTTGAGTCTGTTAATAAATGTACGAGTTGTTCAGTCTTTGATATGACGCTATGTATATTTAAATGTCCCCCAAAGATGCCTTTGGGTATTGTTTTCGGGTTCCATAGTATGCTCACGTGGTTTACAGTCTGAAAGAGTTTTGTTTGCTGTTGTTTGAAGAGCACGGTGGTAGTCTGTGAAGCACTTGTCTTAGTACATGGACCAGCTTTTATCAGCGTTTGGGTGATGGCATGTTCAGACACGGAGATTGTCGGAGGATTTTTACCTCGTGATCCTGCGGGATGAGAGTCATAAAAGTAGGTCACCGGTCTTGCCGCAGGTCCATGTGGAACAGCTGATTGCCAAATATCCACGTGGTTGCAGAAAGTCCGCAGGTCTGGGGTTCAAATGGACATATCCACATAGCTGAAGGACAGTACAGACAAAGATGGACTAAAACCTGTTTTGCTGGTATGAAGTGTGTATATTTGACAATCATACACACTTAATGAGTTTCTTTTTTTACTAATTGAGTTTTCTTGACACGTCATTGTTATATCCTTGTTTTTTTTTTACTGCGTAGTGTGTGTGTATGTTACTTCCTCTTTTCTTGTGTTCTGAGCTTTTTACGGAGATAACACTCTTATGTCCTTTTATAATCTTAACAATCTTAAACAAAATACAATTACTATCTATTATAGACATCTATAAATATTTTCAGATATGTAGTTTAATTCAGGCTAGGTGCAGTCATACCAATTCCCTCATTTACGTATCATTGAAGAACTGGTAGAAAATTGGCAGGGATGTCCACAGACTCCTCGAATGATAAAAGAAAGGTGTGGATAGACGATGTTCAGAAAAATATTACAAAACAGGAATGGGAAAAGACTTGTTATGAAGCACAAACATTGTCTATTTATAGCAGGTTTAAAGTGATCCAGTATAATTGGCTCATGAGAACGTCTATAACTCCTGAAAAATTAAGTCAATTCAACCCTAATATTCCAGATGGCTGTATAAAATGTAGAACAGAAAAAAGAACCCTTTTGCACTGCATTTGGAAGTGTAAACACATCTAAGTTTTTAGGAAAGGAATATTGGACACAATCTCCAACATTATCCACAAAGACACCCCTTTAGATCCAGAGCTTTACCTGATTCCAGCAGCACTGAGAACTGATGAAAGTTGGTGAATTTGTGTCTAATTCAAGCAAAGCATCTTATTGTTAGATAGTGCAAATACTTTAAAACTTTACACAGTCTAAAAGAAAAAGTCACATTTTCTATAAAATATGGGATTCATTTCTTACATGTGGAATCAAGACCTGAAAACTTTTCCTTAAATCTGAAAATCTGAGATACATTTATCAACTGAGACTCTACCTCCACTCTTTTTTGTTTTCTCCTTTAAGTTATGTTGTTCTCTTTATGGTATGTGGGTATATGTGTGTTTGTATTGAAGTTGTTACTATCTACACTGATGCCTCTGAGCTCACGGATGAGTGAGTGGGGGGAAAGGGGGGTCTAAATGATGTAACAACTTATTTTGAAAAGTGTCATGTTATATTCAAAATCAATAAAGATATGTGGTAGACAAACTCAGATATAAGGACAAACATTCAGCAATATGAACACCAACTTACAGCAAACAATAATAAATCCAACATACTGTCACTCACACCCCCCCTCATTCACCGGATCTCAACACTTGACACTTGACAGAATCTCAAACTACTCACGAGTACGAGAGACCTCTGAGGA